TGTCCCTTTAGGTTCAAAAATTTGTGCTGAAACATCATTTCTAGAAGCTTTAAAACCTACCACACCTTTCTGGCCTAATTCGCCTTGGTTTTTTATTGTTTTAACCCATTCCACTTGGGTTTTGGTTACACAATCCCATTACTAGTCAGCCTTATGTCGTGCCTAGCTTATAAATACATCATTCTTCCGCACAAATCAGACCACCCTCTACCATATATTTCTACACCACGCACCCATATATTTAGATACAATTGAGAGAGTTTCAAAGGTGTGCTTGCAAGGAAGGAAGAAAGGAGCTTTGTGCTGTGGCATGCAATCCAAGGGGGTTCGAATCTGCCATTGGAGTTGCTGGGACGTTCCTGGTTCTTTCTATCCCTAGATTTGTTTCAATGTTTGTTTTAATTTGGTTTTATGTTTTCAAAGACATGAGGAACTAATTTCTTTATAATTGGAGGTGAATTTGAAACCATGATTATATGTTTTATATGAATTGATTACATCGAGTTATTGTTTCTTGAGTCTTGAAGTGATTTGCTTATCTGAGTTATCAAAACTTGTTTATGTATGTTGATTGAGGATACTTAATTTGCATGCATGAACTTGATGCTAGAGTATAAGGGAGTTTCACCTAATCGTTATGAACTTATATTCACAAGTAGTGTAAGTCACTAGTCATGATTGTGTTAAGTAAATCCTAGGCAAAAGTATCATGCTTTTCATAGTTACAAATGCTTCGTCAATACTTATGGTTTTCAAAGAACTTAATGACCTTTGATATGTCTATCTATCACACTTTTCATAGTTAGGGGACTTGAGGAGGATAATTTGGTTGAAATGCGTATAGTTGTTGACGAATTATTATTAGGTACAATACATCACATATATATTATCTGCAGGTGCATTTGAATTTACAAAAATCATTAATTGGTACGTTTATTTACAATTTTGGTACGTTTGATTTGATACATATTGTTAATATTGGTACATTATTTTTATTTTGTACATATTGTGTATTGGTACGTTTATAATATTCTCAATCCTATTTTCTTGTAACGTACTAAAAGAAAATTTTATTTCGGTATGTTTGATTTTGGGAATTTAAAAATATTTTAAACTATTTTGGAAAGAAAATATCTTAAATCATAGATAATTATTGCTAAATTGTAGCATTATTGTGAAAATAAATTGAATCTAACCAACTTTTTTTTTTTTTTTTTACAATTACCTCTAATAGAGGAGAATGTAATCAAAATGCTAGATTGTAGGAAATTTGTTACAATATAATGTGCATATAGCACAAAAATTATGACAACAAAAAGTTTAATCAAATCACTCAAAGGTATAGATGTTTGATCTAGAAAATTCAAAACTAAGGCACCTATATCAAAAGATCCCTATAAATTATAGGATAATGCGTGTGTTTTCTTATGAGTCTCCCCACTTACGATTGACGAATTTTTATCATTTGAACAACATAGAACCGTTCACTCTCTTTATCATCATCTAAAGATTAGATTTGTGAGAAATCACTCAATTTGGAGATCATTTAGTCATCTATACATATTAAATCAATCAACGATTTTGGTAACAAGTTTGGTACCTCTTTGTCTTTTTCAGATTCTCTGATTGTTTTTTGGATGCCTACGTATGTAAGCCCTTTTCCCAACAGTTGCACAATCTCTGGATTTTTGCAGGTCTTTCTACTATTTCGGCTATTTGGAAAGCTCGAAATAAGTTTATTTTTTAGGGTCGCCCAATCTATTTTTGTCGTCTTTGCATGTCTATCAATTCTAGGATCATTTATGATGGAAAGTTTATTCCTAGCTATTTTCACGGTTTTGACACTCGTATAATTTCTTCTTTGGGGATCTAGCCTATCCCTCACAAGGCGCCAATTATTCTTCTTGTTCTTTGGTCTTCTCCTTGGTTTCCTTGGATTAAACTTAATACCAATGGTTTGTCCAAAGGAAATCCCAATCCTGCTTCTAGTGGAGGAGTTTTCAAGGATTGTCATGGTCAATTTCTTGGTGGCTTCTATCAAGGGATTGGTCATCGCAACTCTTTTTTTTTTTTTGTAGAATTTTCAACAATTATTATTGGTGTAGAGTTTGCATATCAGCAGGTAGACATTGTTTTTGGTTGGAAAGTGACTATTCTAGTGTTCTTTCTGCTCTCCAATCGACTGATTTTGATCCTCTTTTTCCTCTTTGTACGCAATGGTCTATTTGTTTGGATTGCATTCGGAATATGACTTTCTACACCTCTCATATATATCACGAAGGAAATGTTGTTGCAGACAATTTTGCTAACATGGGCTTGTCTTCTCCAACTTTAGTATGCCATGATTCCCCTCCATTGATGGCTCGTGTTGCTTTGTTTTCAGACTATGCTGGTTATCCTGGCTACCACTTCTCAAATTAATCTGCATATTGACAAAGAGGTTTGACTCACTCTTTTGTTTTTCTTAACCTTCCTCCTCCAACTCTCTATATCGTATTTAAAGAGAATCATACACCTATTGTTTAGTTTTAATCATACACCTATTGATTAGTTAGTCAACTAATGATGATGTTTCCTATTATTAAAAGACGTTAAGAGGTGGCTTGCGGATTTATGAGGAAAGGACGTGCTGGAGGGCTTCGCTTGGTCTTGCAAGAGGTATGATTGATCTATCGATCGATCTTAATCGAGTACTTGAGACAGTTTCCAATATACTTCTAATTAATTAGGCCAAGAGCCAGCCAGTTGGCATGTACTATTTCAATTTCATCTTTTCAAGTGGATGGAACGACACATGCGCGCATGCGTGCAGGAGGGACGGGTTATGTTTGGCAATACTTGCCTGGACGAAGACCTCATCACACCAATCTCCGATAATGAATACGTCCTCAAAGGATCCGAGATCATCCCTTTCGTTTTTGGTATATATAATCGCAGCCCTTTTAGAGCAACTTCACCCATGGAGCCTTCTCCCATGGCAATCCACTATTGAATCCACCATTTTGAACAATAACTGTCTTAAATGAATAGTAACTGTCATTAATGAACAGTAATTGCCATTTGCATCTCCACCCTTGGAGCCCTCCCCCCAGACAATAGGCAATAAAATATTAGTTTTTTTGTTTGTTTAAATAATACAAAATAAAATTATTTGTAATTTCGGATAAGATTTTTTAAATCGTTCTCGTTGCGCCACGTGTCATTTTATAAAAACAAACAATTATTTAGCGATGGATTTCGATAAGATTTTTATCCAATGTCATCGTGCCACGTGTCGTTATTTTTTGAAAATCTATGACGATAGATTTTGATCAGATTTTAACTCGTTCAAAATTGCGCCACGTGTCATTATCCGAAAAGATAATTATTGGAAATCGATTTTGATAAGAATTTTATCCAATGTCATCGTGCCACGTGTCGTTATCTTTTGAGAATCTTTGACGATAGATTTTGATCAGATTTTAACTCGTTCAAAATTGCGTCATGTGTCATTATCCGAAAATATAAAATTATTGGAGATCAATTTCGATAAGATTTTTATCCAATACGATCGTGCCATGTGTCATTATCTTTTCAGAATCTTTGAGGATAGATTTTGATTAGATTTTTAATGAATGACGGCATGCCACGTGGCCTCATCTACAATCCGATCCTTTTCTGAATCGTCCATATAATCCACCATCAATTCTCACAAATCTCACACCAATTTTCTCAACATCTCTATCTCATTATTCATAATTTCTGCTTATTCTTCACCATCCATCCTTACAATGTCTTATTCTTCATCAAGTATGATGTGGGAAATCGATCAGCAAGAGGAGGAATTGTTTAACCAATCTGAAGGAATGTTCAACCTTTAGATAGCCGAAAATGAGATGGAAGAGGATGAGGAGCGTAGAAGGAGAGATGATGAAACAAGAATGGCCAGAGCCTCACATTCCCGTCGAGTCATCCAGACTGTTGCTCAGATATGCAGGCCCAACCGTTCAAGAAACATTGATAGAAGCAGGCAACGACGGGGTGAAGAGTTGTTGGACGATTACTTTGTCCATAACAGTGCATTTCCTGATACGTACTTCAGACGCCGTTTTAGAATGGAACAACATTTGTTCAACAGAATCATGACTCATGTTTGCAACCATGATATAAAATCAACTTTTTTTTTTTTTTACCGTTGTAAATCGGACGGTTCTTATTAAAGAACCGTTGGGATCTAACAGCCCATGGGAAGCCACGTGGCTTCCCAACGGTAACTGACGCGCGGGCCATCCCCCTGAAATCATGTCGGGCGACGCGCCCCCACTCGCGAGTGAGGGGCACGCGCCTGACAAAAAAAAAAAAAAAAAGGCCGAACCCAGCCCTTGCGTCAGCGTGACGTCACACGAGCTCGGGGGCTAGGCCTGTCAACTTTCCACGGGCCTCCGACTCGGGCTCCCACCCTCACTCGGGCCTGTCCCCGCTGGAGCTGCACCCACCGGCCCGAGGGCCCTTTCTCCTCGCCTGTGGCCCGAGCAACCAGCATGGCTGGCGTTGCTCTTAGAGAAGGGGTTCTTATTTTTTTTTTTCAAAAAATGGGGATTAGCTGTGAGACCCATTCTACATCGAGTTTCAAAAAAAATTTCTTCCCTTAAAGGCCTGGAATCCTTTCTGGGCAACTTAATTATATGTTGTGGGGTTAGGTTTTGGGTTAATTTCAATTTTTCTTTTTTGAACAATCGATATTATCTACACTTAGGGGAGGGGGTGGGCTTAGCCTCACAATGGGTTAGCAATAAATTGGTACAAATTCGCCTTTGGCGAGATTTGAACCTAAGACCTTTCATTTATCAGTGAAGAGGAATACTACTAGACCGTAATACTAGTGGCTAATTTCAATTAATTTCGTATATATTTATACTTGGAATCCTTTGTGGCCACCCTAATTTTGTTGTCAATTGTATTTGCATGCAACAGATTATCCTCTGAAATCCTACGCCGAAAAGAGTAGTTGCCTCTTTAAAGATGAGGTTGAGCCACCCTATTCTATACAAGAGGCCTCCTTTCAACTATACAAACATTTTTATCCCAAGAAGAATATAGATATCCAAACAAAAATATCCCCTGAAATGAGCCAAGAATCACAGAGGTCCACTTTGACCGATGGATTCGATGGATTTCGATGGATTCGATGATGCGATCAAACTGAAACCCCAAGGAGGATGACAACGACACAACCACTCAGAAGCTAACATTCACAAGTCAGAAAGCTTTTCTTTCTATTCCAGCTTTTTATTGAAGAAGGTTATTAACAAGGACAAAAACGCCAAAGAATTGGCTTCTTCTACAACTCCGTCTTCTTTCTTCCTTTTATTCACTTTCACCGCCTCAGCAGACGCGGCTGGCAAATGATACTACTAAGAGAAATTCAAGTGCATCTTCCAACATGTTCCGCAATTTGATTACTTGTGGTGTTGTCAACACAAATGACGCCGTTGTAGTCATGTTGAATCCAGCTAATAAAACATATTCCAGCAAGTCTAACAGCAGCCAAGCCATGATCATGGCTGATCATCGTATTTCTAAAGGAGATCACAAGTTGGCAGGTAGGTCTGCCGGAGTTTCTGGGACTTGCCAGAATCCACAGCAGCTGCCGCAGCAACCCCACACTGCTAGTAGGTACGTATGAATGAATTGTAAATTTGTAATCATTCAATCCAATTCAATTCATGAGAAAAAGTCTTATTAAAAATGAATCAATGTACGTATGTATGCACATGACGTGCATATACTATAATGATGACAAAAGAAAGACAACTAATACACATATGCATTTGGCTTTGCTTGTGTTTGGATTTGATGCTGCGGGAAAAGCTATGATGGAGAGAAAGATGCGACTAAGCAGCAAAAGGAGCGCGAGTTCAGTGGCCAAAAAGCGGCTTCTGCTGCTTACAGACCCATTGGTCGGCCGCATTGCTCGTAAGTGACTATCCCTACTCCCACCCTTATTGCATACATTGATAATTTGATGGGATCCCCCTACTCTGCCAAATCCAACTGAAGTCAATTTTGAATTAGGTTAGGTAATGGCTTACCGGCTCACATTAGACTAAATTATAAATAACAATCAAACCACATTAGTTTCAGTAGTACAAGGCCTGCAGTGTTTCTTCCAATCAAGTACCAACTAACTGGGAGTCTCTCAGGTCAAATTAGGATTCAGTCTTGTTTGTACCATACTTGACCAATTCCGAAGCTACTGAGCACAAGTCAGTGTTATACCATCAAGGACCCAGAAGAGTTTCCCTCCAACTAGGAGGCCAATCACAGCGCGACACGTGTTAACATCAGAAGCCAATCATAGCACGACACGTGTCAACATCAGAAGCCAATCACAACACGACACGTGTCAATGTCAGAATGAAACTAGAAACTCTCTTCTATAAATAAGAGATCATTCTCTCACAATATTTCCTAATGTCATTTGTACCAAATCATTCACTAGTACTCACTAAAGGAAAGCTTGAACTTATGTACTTGTGTAAGCCCTTCACAATTAATGAGAACTCTTCTACTCCGTGGACGTAACCAATCTGGGTGAACCACGTACATCTTGTGTTTGCTTCCTGTCTCTATCCATTTACATACTTATCCACACTAGTGACCGGAGCAATCTAGCGAAGGTCACAAACTTAACACATTCTGTTGTACCAAAGTCCTTGCTGATTTTGTGCATCAACATTTGGCGCCGTTTGTGGGAATGACACTTATTCCTACTCTCTTCAGCTTTGCCAAGCTGGTTTCCACCATTTGTACACTCTCTTTTGACCAGGCATCCCTCTCCAACATGGGGAGCGAAGGAAGCCACAACACACAGAATGACACCCCTCTTGCACCTAGTGCGAAGCAACGAAAGAAGGAAGGAAAGAAGGTTGCTCTTCAAGCTAAAGTCGATGAGCTAGAAGCCTAGAACAACAAGATAGCAATGAAGAATGAGGTCCTCCAGGAGCAGTATGAGAAGCTATTTGAGACGCTCCACAAAACTAGGCGTACTCAAACATGTGAGCTCATTGCCCCTGTGAACATCAACCATCATCTGGGTGCCCCCCAACACGGAGGGTCACCTCCCTTCAACATGGGTATCCTTGATGAGGAGCGACCTAATCATCAAAACATTGATCAACATGAGACTTCTCTCAACCCAGATGCTTCGACCCGAAGTAAAAGAAGTAGAGGAAGACACCTCATTGCAGAAGGGTTGGAAGGATGGAAAGCTGTTTATCGTGACTGCCGAGATTTCCTAAAGCAACGTCGAGAGAATCCCCTCCACATATGCTCAAAGATCAATGACCCAAAGGTTTCTGAAAGACTCGGTCCCTTCCTACGACCCAGACCAGTTGCCAATCTAGGTAAGGAACGACAGGTCCCAGAGGAACATGAAGGTACGAGAAACTCTGAGGTATTCCAACAGACTCGCCCTAAAAGTCAGTACGGCGAGTCCAAGAAAAAACCACACGCCCTTGCTCAAACTTTCCTACTTCCAATAGGCGATGGAGACTTACGAAAGAAAATTTCAGTGGCACATGACTCCACTCAGGACCCCTTGTCCTACAACTCCTTGAGGAAGTAAACAAGTTGAAGGCCGAACGTCAGGCCAAGATACCTGACTAGAACCAACCCAAGCCTGGCCCTCTCACAAGAAGGATTTTCGACACCCCCTTCAAGCGAAGACAAAACAAAAGCTTGGTTTACAACTCTATACTGGAAGGGAGGACCCAATTGAACACCTTAACCTCTTTGAGTCCACCATGGCATATCGGATGCACACCAATGAAGATCAATGTCTTCTCTTCCCTTCCACCCTCTCTGGTGGAGTTCTAAACTGGTATTACTGTCTTCCACCTGAGACAGTAGACTCATTTGAGGAATTGAGAAAACTGTTTGTCTCTTAACACATCTTCCAGACCGATCACTTGCATTCTGCAAATGACTTGTACACTATTCGCCAGAAGCTGAATGAGTCATTACGAGAGTATGCCGGTCGCTTCATCCATGAGTATTCTCGTTGCGCTGAGGCAGATGACAAGACCGCCCTCAAGGTCTTCACGGCAGGCCTACGTGATTGTTTCTTCAAGTACATGATCAATGCCAACACTTGGAAGACTTACTCTGAGGTGATGGCACATGCTTACAACCACGCCTCCACCGAAGCAAGGACATACCAAGGGAACCCCCATATGGTTAACCCCTATCAACAAGTGGGAAGTGGAAGTCAAGTTCTACCAAGTGATGAGATATTGGCCATTCAGACACCCATTGCATCATCTCCTGCCTCATTTAGCTACTCGCTAAGTCACCAAACGTATCTGTCTCTTGGTAAGAAGAAGGATTTTTACTCTTAGCAAGCCCATTACAACAAGAGGGATAAAAGTTCATATCAAGACAACCAGGGGTGAATATACCGTTGATTATTATGACTATGAGGCCAAGCCTCACTCTTTCAAAGTAGAGGACTAGGTACTGAAGGAAATGCTATTATAAGAAGGCATACACATTACAAATGTTTTAACTCTCAACCGCTTGAGATCTGTTGTCACACAAGCCATTTGGCAAATATTTAAAGAAGAGGGAATTCAAACAACTTCTTCTGAGTCTTTTGCGTTCCTAGCACTGGAACACTTAGTCTACGCTGACCTACCCTTATACTCCAACTCAGAGCTTCAACATGCGTACTTTGACACAAAGTATGTGATACTAAGTCTTACAACCAACATGGTTCACATATCAAAAGCATGGATCCCTTCATGCATAGCAAAACATTCATAAGCATTACTCATATCAATCAACATAAACATTATACATTCCAACACATTCATACATAAACATCATACATTCCAACACATTAATACATAAACATCATACATTCCAACACATCCATACATAAGCTAACTGTGCTTCGAAAGGGTTCAACATACTTTGTGTCTTCGACACTTGTTACAATATGCCTCGACACCATGCCCTTATTCTTACCAACCAGGTGATGAAATGTGAAGAAGGAACTCATCTTCATGCCACCAACCAGGTGATGAAATATACAACCCATACTCTTCTTCATGCCACCAACCAGGTGATGAAATGTACAACCAGTACTCTAATATCATTTGGCAACATGCCACTCATGCCACCAACTAGGTGATGAAGGAACTCATCTTCATGCCACCAACTAGGTGATGAAATGTACAACCCGTACTCTAATATCATTTGGCAACTTGCCACTCATGCCACCAACCAGGTGAAGAAGGAACTCATCTTCATGCCATCAACCACGTGATGAAGGAACTTATCTTCATGCCACCAACCAGGTGATGAAATATATAACCCGTGCTCTCCTTCATGCCACCAACCAGGTGATGAAATGTACAACCTATACTCTCCTTCATGCCACCAACTAGGTGATGAAATGTACAACCCGTACTCTAATATCATTTCGCAACTTGCCACTCATGCCACCAACCAGGTGAAGAAGGAACTCATCTTCATGCCATCAACCAGGTGATGAAATGTACAACATGTACTCTCCTTCATGCCACCAACCAGGTGATGAAATGTACAACTCGTACTTTAATATCATTTGGCAACTTGTCATTCATGCCACCAACTAGGTGAAGAAGGAACTCATCCTCGTGCCACCAACCAGGTGATGAAATGTGATGAAAGGTGATGAAGGAACTCACCTTCATACCACCAACCAAGTGATGAAAGCAACTCACCATTCATTCCACCTACCAGAAGACAAGTGGTACAACTTGTACATGTGAACTCCTAGCATTCACAAATAATCAAAAACCCATAAGCTTGACAACTAAACTAGGGAAGCACTTATGCCCAACAAGAATTATAGTCACTAACAAAGTCTTATTGCAAGCCAATAACAACTTCAGTGCATGGCATACGAAAATCAAGCTATTCAGCCCTCTTGCATCTGCTTCAGACATTTCCCCTCTGTAACAATGCAAACACTACAACTCGTAGAAAACTTCAAACTCTTGATCAAGACAGTGTGAAACAAAACCAATTTATGGTGCCAACAAGAGCTTCATCAAAAGAGTTTAACCACAATTCTCAAAAGCTTCACACATTCTTGATCAAGACAGTGTGAAGCAAAACCAATTTATAGTGCCAACAAAAGCTTCATCAATGGAGGGCAACCATAATTCTCAAAAGCTTCACACACTCTTGATCAAGACAGTGTGAAGTAAAACCAATTTATGGTGACAACAAGAGCTTCATCAATGGAGGCAACCACAATTCTCAAAAGCTTCACACATTCTTGATCAAGACAGTGTGAAGCAAAACCAATTTATGGTGCCAACAAAATTTTCATCAAAGGAGTTCAACCATAATTCTCAAAAGCTTCACACACTCTTGATCAAGACAGTGTGAAGCAAAACCAATTTATGGTGCCAACAAGAGCTTCATCAATGGAGGGCAACCACAATTCTCAAAAGCTTCACACACTCTTGATCAAGACATTGTGAAGCATAACCAATTTATGGTGCCAACAAAAGCTTCATCAAAAGAGTTCAACCACAATTCTTAAAAGCTTCACACACTCTTGATCAAGACAGTGTAAAGCAAAACCAATTTATGGTGCCAACAAAAGCGTCATCAATGGAGGGCAACCACAATTCTCAAAAGCTTCACACATTCTTAATCAAGATAGTGTGAAGCAAAACCAATTTATGGTGCCAACAAAAGCTTTATCAATGAAGGGCAACTACAATTCTCAAACCTTCGAGGCAAATTCAAGACTGTTCGAAGCAAATTCAAATTATATGGTTCATCCAAACCTTCGACTACTACAAGGTGTGGCTTTTATAACAATCTCTTACTCAACAGTGTGGAAGCAAAATTTGTATATGTTGTCTCTCCCACATTTTCAAATTTCTAGTTTCCTAAAAAAAAAAAAGGGAAATTCAACAAAGCATCATCAATGGAGGACAACTACAAATTCTCAAAAGTTTCACACTATCTTGATCAAGATAGTGTGAAGCAAAATCAATTCGTGGTACCCAACAAAGCTTCACCAACAAAAGCTTCATTAATGGAAGACAACTATAAATTCTCAAAAGCTTCACACTATCTTAATCACGATAGTGTGAAGCAAAATCAATTCATGGTACCCAACAAAAGCTTCAACTCCAAAGCTTCACCTACAAAGCTTCAACTCCAAAGCTTCACCTACAAAAGCTTTACCCACAATAGCTTCACCTACAAAAGCTTCACCCATAAAAGCTTCACCAACAAAAGCTTCACCCACCACAAAAGTTTCACCCACAAAAGCTTCACCCGTTACAAAAGCTTCACCCACAAAAGCTTCACCTACAAAAGCTTCACCTACAAAGCTTCAACACAAAAGTTTCACCTACAAAAGCTTCACACTATCTTGATCAAGATAGTGTGAAGCAAAATCAATTCATGGTACCCAACAAAGCTTCAACCTCAAAGCTTCACCTACAAAGCTTCACCTATAAAGCTTAATATATATATTTTCAAAAATTCAAAATTTCGAAAATTCGAAAATTCAAAAAAAAAAAAAATTGCCTAAGCCTCATCTTCTTTGGGCCTAACAACTTTCATAACAAATATATATGAATGAGGAGTTTTGGGCTACCACTTAGAAAGGAAAATGGTGAAGTTTTGTTACTTTGGAAACTTAGCTACTAGCAAGACACCTCCTTCGTCAACTCCCTTGACCGGATACTTGGGGGACTCCTACCATATGCTACTGCACATTGATATTCGGAAGTCTCATGGCCACTCAGTGACTTGGATATTTTTCAAGTCTCCAGCCGAGAAGTTTTCCTCACTCGGGAAATTAAGGGAGCACTACCTCAACCTACATGCTTCACTCATAAAGCTTCAATATACAAGATTCAACAAAAGGAAAAATTCAAAGAACTTAGTGAAGAAGGCCTTGGTGTATTTAACACAATACGTTGAAATGAAGCAAAGCTTGTTTATTTATATCTCCGATAAGTTACAAATAAGTACATATACATGAATCAAAATAAACAAACAAGAGGGAGTCTTCACAAAGGTTGCTCAGAAGAAGTCTCAACAGGCGGCAGAACCCTAGAAAGATGAGGCACCAGAGGGTGATTCTTCGAAGCCTCAGTACTAGGCAGAACCCCAGAAGGAGGAGGCACCGAAGGTTGATCATTTAGAGCTTCATTACGTGGTACAGCCCCAGAAGACGAAGGCAATAAATGCCTTTGGAACAAACCCACAAATATCTGATGATCAAGTAAAATTTGACCATTAGATTCCTGCAGCTGGTCGAGCTTCCTCTTCATGTTCGTAGCATAGTCATGTGCGAGCCTGTGCAACTGTTTATTCTTATGTTTGAGCCCTCTGATATCCTGTTTGAGACTTATCACTTCAGCCGCCAATGATTCAACTTGGCAGGTTCGAGCAAATAGGCGTTGGGCCATATTAGACACAGAACTTGCACACTGAACACTGAGAGCCAGAGAATCCTTAACAGCCAACTCATCAGACCGTTTAGAAAGTAGTCTGTTATCTTTGGGAGTGAGAAGGTTCTTGGCCACCACCTCAGCGGTCATATCATTCTTCATCACAGAGTCCCCAATGGTAAAAGGACCAATAGGGGATAAGAAGGATGAGCGCCATATGTTGTCTTGAGAAGGCATGGCTACCTCTTTACCAAAGTTCAAGTTAAAACGACGGTCGGATGGGCCATACATTCTCAGAAATGATGAAGGAGAAATGAGGTGCAATAAATCTCTGAAGTAAGGGGAAAATTCCTACAAGTAATAACTCTCTGAATGTACTTCTTGCACACAATTGGTGCCCTTATAAAAGAAAGGGCAACATGGTCGTTGGTTCAAAAATCGAAGAGGCACCACTCTCCGGATTCCGAAGAGGCACCATTTTCCACACGCAACATCAGCTCCTTGAGTACCACAGATAACTTTGCCAAAGATCTCTAACAAAGTTTAGACACATAAATTTTGAAGGTCTAGCTACCCTACTATTACCCAAAAGGGTAAAGGAACAACACCATTGCTTGATAACTACAAAGTCCCAATATGTGTCAACCTCCGTGCTCCGTGGTAAGGCAGACTGGCAAAAATGCCCAACCTTTACTCGCATTCGAGAAAACACTCCCAACAAGATTGCTTGCTCAAAAATCGAAAAGACACCGCCCTCCGAATCTCGAGAGCTAGACTCCTAACAGGACTACTTTATCAAAAATCGAAGAGACACTGCTCTCCGAATCTCAAGAGTCAGACTCCCAACAAGATTGGTTTCTCAAAAATCGAAGAGGCACCGCTCTCCAAATCTCGAGAGCCAGACTCCCAACAAGATTACGTGCTCAAAAATCGAAGAGGCACCGCCCTCTGAATCTCGAGAGCCAGACTCCCAATATGATTACTTTCTCAAAAATCAAAGAGTCATTGCTATCCGAATTTCAAGAGTTAAACTCCCAACAGGATTGCTTTCTTAAAAATCGAAGAGGCACCGTTCTCTGAATCTTGAGAGCCAGATCCCCGATAGGATTACTTGTTCGAAAACTGAAGAGGCACCGCTCTCCAAACTTCGAGAGCCATATTTCCTTGGATAAAGCTTGTCTGCAATCTTCACACGCAACATCAGCTTTCCAGATACCACAGACCACTTTTTCAAAGTGCTCTGACAAAGTTAAAACACGTAAAACTTGCAGCTCCCACTACATTGTATTGACCAAGAAGGGTAAATGAATATCACTGCTACTTGTTGTTAGGGAGACTCCTATATATGTTGACCTCCATCCTCCACAGCCAGGCAGACCTGCAATTAAAAAAAAAAATACTTAACTTTTCTTCACATCCGAGAGGGCACTCTCAGCAGAGTCTTTCGAAATACTCATCTTCTTTTCCTCCCGATAATACCTCTGCACACAAGTCACACCAGAGCAAGAGTATCTCATATCATCAGGGTTAAAAGCAAGAGTATCCCATATCATGCTTTTTCCCTGTCTTTTCCTTTAGCCTTATTCTTACTTATAAGACAAGGAGAAATAGAGCAATTAGTCAGTACTTGGGATCAAGCTTCTAGTCAGGAATTGACTGCCTGGAACCCCTTGCCTAATTACTTACTTGGCATTGCCTTCAACGTCTTATGCTTCTAGAGAAGATACCACATCTGCCTGAGGAACAGATAGGGCAAGTGAGAAGGATACAAGGAAGCATGTGGAGACAAGCGTAACAGAACATGTGCCGATACATCCACTACTTTGTCAACAGCAAAACTATCCTATATTATCAGGGTTGAATGTACTCTAGATTTGATGGACTTGTTTTGACCCTCAAATTCTTGAGTCTGCCTTATACTCTGGAAGAAACCAGAAAACCCTCTAGCCCAGTTCAAGAATAAGCATGTGGAAAGTTACTTCTTCAAAAGCAAAAGTATCTCATATCATCTATTCTCCATTTGCTTCTCCTTATACTTGTTGCTGTTTACGACATAAAGAGAAGAAGAACAATCAACCGGAAGCCGAAGTCGAACCTCCGATCCAGGTTGCTTACTTGGAAGTCTGATTGCTTACCTGATCTGTTACCTTCTTCGGCAAATCTCCTAGCTCGGCAACTTGGGGGACTCCTACTATAGGGTTTGTATCGCACTTGACAAAGCTCGAAACTACAAGTAAGCTTCAAGTGAAATTGATACATTACCTTGTGCATCTTCATCGGTTAGAGATACCACCCTTGGATGGAGGAAAAGTACTTTCAGAGAAGATGCCACATCTACATATAAGACAGATAAGGCAAGTGAAAATGATATCACACTTCGGTACTTAGAAGTTTCATGATTACTCAATAGCTTGGATCTAGCAAGTCCCCAACCGAGGAGCTTCCCTCACTCGGGAACTTAGGGGAGCATTGTTTGTACCATACTTGACAAATCCCGAAACTACTGAGCGCCTGTCATCGTTATACCGTCAAGGACCCAGAAGAGTTTCCCTCCAACCAGGAGGCCAATCATAGTGCGACACGTGTCGACATTAGAAGCCAATCATAGCGCGACACGTGGCAACATCAGAAGCCAATCACAACACGACACGTGTCAATGTCAGAATGAAACTAGAAATTCTCTTCTATAAATAAGAGATCATTCTCTCACAATATTTCCTAATGTCATTTGTACTAAATCATTCACTAGTACTCACTAAAGGAGAGCTTGAACCTATGTACTTGTGTAAGCCCTTCACAATTAATGAGAACTCCTCTACTCCGTGGACGTAACCAATTTGGGTGAACCACATACATCTTGTGTTTACTTCCCTATCTCTATCCATGTACATACTTATCCACATTAGTGACCGAAGCAATCTAGCGAAGGTCACAAACTTAACACTTTCTGTTGTACTAAAGTCCTCACTGATTTTGTGCATCAACAAGTCTCATTGGCTTACATCAAATCAACCAATACTACAGCTGGCGCTGGGTCCGTGGGTAGAGAGAGTGTTCGTTGATAATTAAAAATTATGCCCTCAAGTTAAATTAATATACCAAATCATATTAGGAAACGAAGCGTGTGCCCATAAGTTTACAAACTCCCCCATAAATGGATGAACACAACAAGTTGGCCAAAAAGTGAATGTGGTCAATGTTGGCATTCATAAATCTTGGTGACCAAGAATGCACAAACTAAAACTGCAGAATCTAAACAAGTGATTAAAATTCGAAAGACTTAATGTTAATGCAGGCACTGCAGGAAGCTGTTTAAGCCAGAAAAATTGCACTCACACATGAAGTCGTGCAGAGGAATGAAAGCTGAAACGAAGATACCTGAAATGGGATCAAGAAATCCTCAAACTCCGAGGAATCCGCTTCAGGTGTCTGGACCTGACGAGCTGAATATGCCCAGTAATGACTGATCATCGGATGCTCTTCTGTCTGTTGCCAGGATGAAAGGCAGGAGCCAATTTTCTTTTCATTTAATTTTCTTTTCTTTTCTTTCTTTTCTGTCTTTCTTTCTTTTTTTACCATTATGTGAATAGAAAAGGCATAGCTCACTGCATTGACTGACTAATAAAAAAGAAAATATTCTAGTTGCATTAAATTGTTCTATTTCCAACTTCGTTGACAATTCATCCACTTTTAGAAATCAAATGAGAATTCTACGTATATGTTTTATGTACACCATCACGGGACACGGGGACAGAATGATCTAGAACATGCATGCGTGTGTATGTTTTAGTAAACTACTACGGCTATGATGAATGTACTCCCTAATGATCTAAGAAATCTAAAAGGATTATGTTTCATACCTTTATACAGTGCAACGACTCCATAGCAAGCCACATCGCGAAAGCATTACCCCTAATTAATATGTATTGTAAAGTATCAATTTATTTCCATTTGGTAATTTATTTTCGCAAATTCAAAACAAAATTGAAGAATACCAATAGTGAAGAATCAAATTCAAAAGTGGAAGTGAGTAAATAAATGAGAGAAATTAGATAAATGCCTCTTTCGAAGATGGAGGCCTCCATAGTTGAAGAAGCAAAAATAATCCACAACTGAAAACCCAAAAGAAAAAGGGAAATATTTCAAAATGGGACAATTTCTTAATCTTGGGACTAAAATAGGACAAACCGGCTATACACAAGCCATGTACACCATGCACAAAACCAAAATTACTAAAATACCCACATAAATACTAAAATTTAGAAGCCCATTGCATCACTTTTCTCATTTGGAAGAGATGGATGCTGAGAGAGCTGTGTGAGCTCTGGATTTTTGGGTTGAGCTCAGATCTCTGAGTTCTGATTTTGAAGAGAGGGAAGTCCAAAGAGAGGTGAGAAGAGTGGGCTGGGTTTTGTACCATATTTTATGCTTAGCTGGAAAGTTCCATTTTTTCCAACAACTAAAGTTTCAGCATGCATAGTAAGGTAGGGTGTTTAATTCCAAATTCCTTCATCAATGATTTATGGAATAAATGAGTTTTGTAAGATGAATTAATACTAATTGGGTTTGTGTTTCATGTTGGGGCCTATGGGTTGTGGAATAAATTTCAGGTTTTGAAGTGCTACAAAACTGGGATGGAACAATTTTTGGTTCAAGTGTCCAATTGCAAAAATTTGTGAAATTTTTTTCCAAGTGCATGGCTACATCTTAATATGAGAAGCGGGAATGTTCACTAGTTATAATGCACGTATGTTGTGCCTCCAAATTTAGCAAGTATGACACAACCTAGTTGGCCTTGGCGAAAAATGAAATCAAGAAAAAGCTTAAAGGACGTTAAGTGTCATGTCTATCCATGAAACAACGACAACGAACATCATATCATATGCGTGCATTGTATATATAATGTGCATGTGGTGTGCATATAGTGTATATAGACAAGTGATGACGTCATTTTTCTGATTTGGAAGAGAGAGATGTGAGCTCTGGATTTTTAGATTGGTTCATATTTGTGAGAATATCATGTGTATGTTGTGTACATACAGTGAGCAAATCCTGAAAAAATTATCTAACAAAACACCAACGTTTAATGACTGGGCTTTGTTCCCACCCTCGATGCGAGTCCAGTAATAGTGGTCTCGAGCCTTGATTGTTTGCCATGTTGCCAGAAAATGGCCGAAAACTCACAGCCTGCTTGATTTTTGATTCTAACAATTTGGGGATGAGATTCGTGACAAGGTTAGATGTTTTGGACTCGTGAGGACGAGATGAAATTAGTGGTGGCTTCGATTTGGACGGTGTTGGTCAGAATGACTGTGCATCGTGTGTGCACAGTGAGAAGGGGGGAGAGCGTGCGTGAGGGATAAAGTGAGAAAAGAGAGAGGAGGAGGGGGAGAGAGATAGAGAAAGAAATCAGAAAATTAGAGGAAATAACTTATTTATATACGAGGGCAATTGAGTTAGTTCAAGATGTAAGAATTTTTTTATTTCTATCCGATTGTTGTGCATGACATATGCATGCTGTGCATATTCGAAATGTCATATTTTTGCTGCAAAATTAAATAATTGTCATATCTCTGAGTATTTCTCAAAGAAAAAAGGCAGCCCAAATAAGAGGAAAATTGTCGAACAAAACAGAATAGAAGAGGATCCTGTAGAAAAACTGCAGAAAATAATTCTTAAAATTAAGAAATCCGCCTAGCGATTTGAGTAGAAAAAGATGAAGCATCGATTCGGAGTTGCATCCATTAAGGTTGTGTGACGTCCAAGAAGATGGTAAACTGAAGAGCCAAGTTGTCTTATAGCATGCTTCTGAATTGTTTTAAAAATAAATTGCATTCCTATAAATATTTTAACTATTGGCACTTTAAGATAAGGCAGAGTATTTCAAAATGAATGATCAAATACACATAAATTGATGAAATGATAGCTCTGTTTACTTTTTTAATGCTTTTTGAACTTTTTTGGAAGAGATTTTTTAATGTGATCGGAATATGGGATGATACATCATGTGTCACTATAAATGGTAGGATATGTGTGTTAAAAAGTTAATAACTTAAAAAATATGATTTTTCATCACTTATATATAAATATGTAATGTATTATCTATGTTCCGATCACAATGAAAAATTTCTTCCTTCTTAACAGCCCTGCATTGACTCGAGGACTTAAGTATCAATTGAAATGATTTCCATGCATCAAAACAGAAATCTGACAAACCGAAAAGTAAAAAGGAGAGAGAGTAAGGAGGTGAAGGAGGAGAGGGGGAAGGGGGTTGCGGAAAAGTATTTACATCTACGTTTATATTTGGACAAGGATTGTATGCCTTCCCACTTTCGGTGCCCTTCCGTGCCCTCCTGTTTTGTGTGGTCACGGTTAAGCCACGTCAACATTTTATATTGTTTTTTTATATAGATAATAAGACAAAAATAAATAGTAATATAAAATGTTAACGTGGCTTAATCGTGACCACACAAATAGGAGGGCATGGATGGGCACCGGAAGTGGGAGGGCATACAATCCTTGTCCTTTATATTTAGCTTGTTTTAACTGACACCTAAGTCAAAAGAAAGAGGATCTTGCTGGATTTTCTTTACGAGGATCTCGGAGATTCTTTAGTTTTATTATTTTATCATATATTGTGTGATAAAAAATTATTTTAAATTATATTATTTAAAATTGAACATAAATAGCACATGATGAAAATTGACCGTACGATATACCTGAATCCTCACAAATAAGATTTTCGAATCCTCTTAAAAAGGATCTCCGGATCCTCACAAAGAGGATTTGGCGAGAATCCTATGTCTAAGTCAAATACCATCCAGAACATTAGAATATCAGTTCTCAAGCCTAACTACTTCATTAAAGATAATACACTACGAAAAGAATACAATAACATACTTGCATCAATAAAGTCCCTAAAGCAGCATAGGAGGCATCTTCACTGATAGCACCCATCCAAAACTTTAAAGCAACACAGCACAACAAAAGCAAATCCATATACAGCTGAACCATTATCAGCCTCATAGCTCACCTAAATATATCAAACCAGGGAAGTGCATTTTAATTTTTATAATTCATAAAATATTTCTGCAGGCCAGATTCCAATCCTTGGAAACTACTACAACAATAAATAAAGCGTAGATAATTCAATTTGGGATTTTGAAACAAACAATTTAAACCAATTTATGTACAATTTCTATATATTTTGTTGATGCAAAATCAGTGAGGACTTTGGTACAACAGAAAATGTTAAGTTTGTGACATTCGCTAGATTGCTCCGGTCACTAGTATGGATAAGTATGTAAATGGATAGAGACAGGGAAGCAAACACAAGATGTACGTGGTTCACCCAGATTGGCTACATCCACGGAATAGAGGAGTTCTCATTAATTGTGAAGGGTTTACACAAGTACATAGGTTCAAGCTCTCCTTTAGTCAGTATAAGCAAATGATTTAGTAAAAATGACATTAGGAAATATTGTAAGAGAATGATCTCTATTTATAGAAGAAAGTTTCTAGTTTCATTCTGACATTGACACGTGTTGTGTTGTGATTAGCTTCTGATATTGACACGTGTTGCGCTATGTGAATGAAATTTTGTGAAAAACATGTTCATTTGAGCAACATCTATAGCATGCAATTAACATTTAAAGGCGGAATCATGCTTGTATGCACTCAAAAAAAAAAACATTACCCATGAAATTCAAAGCCTAGTAGAAAGGTGAACCAAGACTCAATTCAAGAACAAAGTGAGTTGAGAGATTTTATACCTTTGTTGATTCCTCTTTTGCATAAGCAAAGGCTAATCACCCAAGGAGAGGGCCTTCATTCCTTGCTTTTTAGATCCATGGATTTCTTGGATGAGGATGGTTGAAAGGATTCTCCAAATTCCCAAAGTTGAGAACCTCTAATTTTTCCACACCAATGATGGACTTGAAGAAGAGATAAGTGACCTTGGAGGAGGAAAGATTGCTAGCTAATCTCCTCCAAGGGACCGGCCTCTTAGAAAGAAAGGGAGAGACATGTGCTCTCCAATTTTCTCCAAAAGCAAACCCTAAGGATGAAGTGTCTATAAAGTTGCCTTTATACCACCTCACAATGGAGTGGCAAACTTGCAATTAATCCTAGTTCACTACCCCTCTCTATATGGTCGGCCATTAAGGGTTCATTGGGCTTTCATGCCCTTTGTGTTTTCAAGTTGTCATACAACTTGAGTTAATGGGCTTGACATTCAAATCCCATTGGGCCTTGCGGCCCAAAACTAACTCGAGGTCTTTAACGAACTTTATTCGTTTGATTAATTAACATATTAATTAATCATTGCCATAAATAATTAAACCATTTAATTATCCTTACTCATCTTCGTTGTTTCTTCAATCTCTATCTTACACGGTGTACGATCCATTAGGTTTCTTTTAGCGAGGCAGTGGGCGATTAGAACTCTTTCAAATCGATTGTGAATTGA